CGGCATCCGTCGTGTAAGTCACGGAATGTGCGCGCGCGGAAATGCCCAAGATTTATCCGGCTAATCCGTCGGGAAGAGCGACGCGGATTAACGACGACGATGTGCGCGATTTATTTTTTACGTGAACCACGGGTATTCCACCTCTTCCCTCTGCTCTCCGTTTCGATGGCGATAATGTGTAAAAGTAATGTATCATTTCGTGAATAAATGTTTAATTGTTTTAGTTTTCGTTAATAATAAATTATTAATATTTTTGCTTCATATTCAATGTAGCTCTGATAACGGTCGTTCTTGATAAAACATATACGATTACGAAGTAACGAAAATATACAAAATAGAGTATATTTAATATTTAGTGTAATATACTTACTTATTATTCATTTGCACTCTGTGACATAAAAAAAAATTCTCAAGTAAAAATTTAATTCTTTCATTTACGTGAATATATTGCCATGTGACATTAATTAAGAAAATTATATTATCAGAACATCGCGAAAAATGCAACAGCGTGCATAAGGATTTTGCGGTCTGCGTGCGCCGTTGTAAAGCATAACAGTTTTTCATAATTATACAGCATAAAAAAATAATCTGCGACGTAACGAGCCACGTAACCATCGCGCGCGTAGAAACGAGGTAGCCCCCGGTGGACGTGTTTCACATGCTTACACGTACCGCCTCGTAATCGGACGCACGCTGTAATAAAGTGTCACGAGACAAAACATCGATTACATTCGGGCCCTGCGTTAGCGGCAAGTTTTTCTCGCGCGCCACAAAAGAATCCCGGAATAATCAAATAGCGTTCGTATGTGCTTAACGCGCGAAGATGCAGGGAAAAAATTACGTAGCAGTTTTTTGCTCTCTCGCTTTATGCGAGTGTTAGTTTTTTATTTTCGTCACAAAATATCTAATTTGCTTTTCGAAATAAAGGAAGAATATATAGTGTAACTTTTCGCGCAGAAAGAAGGCATATTGAAGGCATATTTCAGAGGGTTCCTTCATCCTCCTTCCATGAACATTTCCGAAACCGACGGTTCGATCGACGGCGGTATAATCCGATTGCGCGGATTTCGTTCGGGAGAAGAAGGGCACATTCGCGCGCGAGGCGAAATTCGCAAATCGAGTCTAATAGCGGCGCGCGATTGCGTCGTGCTAATTCTCGAGGCGAGCGGCCGACGTCGAATGCCGATCTGAAATTACAGACGGCGCGCCGGCATTACCGGATCGTGTCGCCTCGGATTACAGCTGCGTTTCTGTCTTACTTGTCTTACCCGCGACAAGAATGTAATACAGCAGGGAACGGGACACCGAAGAGGTGACACGCGGACACGGACGAGCACTGTCGCGAACACGCGTTCGCGTTCCTTCCTTCCCTCGAGTCTCACGACTCGACGCGCAACGTGAGAGCGATAACGTTCGAGAAAAAGAAATCGCTTTTAATTTATCAACTGTCCTATCATATATGTATACGTTTCGTAATGGAGATTCGCCGTATCGCGATTAATTAGCTGTTCGCCTCGTTATCAGATCGACTCTTGTCAGTGTGTGACACTTTCCGCTTTTTCAATTATTAATGATTTTTTTCGAAGCTTTGCACGCAATAGAGATTGTGTATTTAAAATCTTTTTTTTTTTATCATTTTTTAAATACTTCTTAATTTATTATTTTTATAATATTATTAAAAAGAATTCGTATCCATTTTTGAAGGCTACTTATTTCTACATATTGGACGATTATTATTGAAGCAACGTTTTGTGTGCTTTCGTCGGGGGATGTAACGATGATATAGGTATAACTGCCTCTTTTTCCATTCGAAATACAAATGCGAGCCGGGAGCGTTACAATCGTGAAATTAAACGCATATGCATTTTGCATTCTATGAAGCGGCTAATTCCTAATGGAAACAAGAGTATCACCTAGGAGCTAAAAGCCGGAGGAGCTTTAGGGCAATCAATCATGCAAATTGCGATCGCGGCAAAATCTCTGGGACTCCGTTCACGATTCCATATGGTAATGCTGCTAATGCACCGATCGCGTATCAACGGACATATAGGGTGTCCCTAAAATCATTTCCTATTTATAGAATGTTATAAACCGCACTTAAAATTGCAGCGACAATTGTATTTGTACATTTGATATATACATTGAAATTATAAATAACTAAAGAAAAAAAAATCGGTAATTAAAAATGTAAATCTCTTGTTTTTCGAATAAATTTGAGTAAATATTACTACAACTAAAAACTTCATTAATGAGAAATTTATAGTATCAAAATAAAAATGTATGCAAATAAAAACTAATTTCAGACCAATATATGGAAAGTCTCCGATCGTAAAGTTGGCACTGTATATATTGTATGTATCGTTATATCTAGCAAAGGACGAACGCAATCTGGCTCAATTCCCAGAGAGCGCCGGTTATTTATTAACTATTAATTGTTCCATATCGATTCGCCTACAGATCATTTTTTTTCTATCTAGATAATAACACAATGTCGATAATCTATTTTGCAAATGAAAACGCTATATTAAAAGTATTATTATAAATAGCCTTTTCAATTTTGAAAACGTAATTATTATTATTTTGCATAAATGCAACAATATATATGTGGAAACATTTATTTGTAGCACTAACTCACTCATTCTATAGAAGGAAATTGCACATAAAATACGCGCTCCGCAAAAAGTGAAGTTATACATATTATATTCTGTAGAAATACTTTATCGACTCATCGGCCACAGTTATAATTGATAAGGTTCATTATCGAGATGGCATCGATTTGCTGCAAATGCAATATACGGCCGTTAATTAAATATTACACGAAATAACCAAACGAATAATTTTCCAATTTACTCTCTCTACATCACGTTCTTTTCTCTGTGATTTCTATTATTTACTACTTCAGTCATATGTATATGTTTGAAACAAAATATTTTTCTTGTAAATTATTTTTTGTAAAATTCTGTTGCATTTTCTCTCTTTTCTTTATCTTTCTATTTTTAATTTCTTTACCAAGTTATCAAAAGTTCCTTATTAATCTTTTTGTACACGTTTACATAACTTTTCTTCATTTTATTTCATATATTCAAAAGCAGATATTCGCAAAATTATCACGTTACTAATTTATTTAACAAATTGGACTTTGCACGAATCGAATTTTCTTCAATTAAAATTTGAACCTTCTTCAAAAGATTTTATCATTTTCGTACATTAAATATTTGTATCAATGCACACATAAAAATCAATTTTATTTCTCATTATAATTTCCTTTTTATTTAACAACTATCCAAATCAAATGTACGTCGAAAACTATTGTCATTCTCTAAAAAAATCAATTTCCGTTTCTTTATATCTCTCCTCTCACTTAAACTCTTCCTCCTTATTCAATTTCTCCATTATTAAAACGTAGACGGTGACTCGCGGTTTTTATCGAGAAAACCGGCCGAAAGTTTAACGCAATTTTACGCAGCGCGATCAAACGGCCGTGCCGTTTATTATTTCATCGGAGACCTCAATGTACCGCGCGCGATTATCGCGCGTTTTAATATCACGATATTAAGCCCTTTTTGAAAGGCTACTCAAAGGGCCGCGGAGCGAGGCGAGTGGCGTTATAAGCCGGGATTGTCGACACGACGCAGCGTACATCCACTCGCGCCCCTCGTCGCCGTTGGCGAAATGCTGTTGAATCGGTAGCGCGGGGCGAGATCCAATCGAATTAATTATCGTTCGTTGTTAATTACCGCGGCCCGACCGATAAAACGCAGCCGCCCGTAATCCGGCGACCCACGGAAAAACGGAGAGAACGAAACGCGGCGCGAAAAAACCGACCGGTTTTTCGAGCGAGAGAAGGGAGCGAAACGCACGCGCGTGTTTCAACCCCCGTTAATGTTGCGAGACAATGAATTTCAATTATCGCCGTCGCGAAATGTACGAAACTGTTTAAATCGTTAATCACGAAATGCACTGGCGTGATATAATACGAAAACGGGACTGTGGATGTACCTAAATTTCGAATTAGCACGCGATTAGGTCATGACAATTCGTGCGTTTATTTGTCAGATCTAAACGATTATTCTCTTCTTCAAAAAAAAAAAGAAAAAAAAATCTTGACAATGGTAAAAGCATTTCACATATTTATGAATGTATTTGTAGCTTTTATTTTATCCGTGAGAGGAAAATAATTATGATAATGCGAGGCTGTTTCGCAGTTCTCACAATAATTAGAGATAAAATAAAAAAGGAATATAAAATAATGTTGCTTTCATATTTTGACAGCTCAAAAACTAGAATCGAGTAAGATTTGAGTTACGTTAAGAAGAAGGGTATTTTATATATATATCATCATTACTTTTTCACACAACACTTTCTACATGCTTTCTATACTTTTTCCGAGTCTTTATTGATCGAAAAAGAGTTTGTATTTTATTCTACGCTTTTTGTTTCATTGAACTGCATTGCAACCGACTTTGTTCTCACACAAACCTAGCAACCGATGGAGGATTAGGAACTTCTGGATACTTCTTATCCGGATTTGGTACCCTCAGGATTAAGGGACGAAATCGGCGAATCGATGTCATCCCCGTTGAAATTCCGCACAGAGATTTTAAATCCGAAAGCGCATTCTACCGCCATCTACGCGCTGACGTAGAGAACTGTAATCCGCCCGAGCGACAAACACTTTGACGTGCAAACACTTTGTGAGGGAATGTTTCTTCGCTTGGATGTCCGAAAAAGCATCTCAAGCGTATCGCAAAACCGTTAGACCGAATTTACGTCAATGTGGCCGATGAAGAAGACTCGAGGCGACATGTCGAAAATTTTCGTTTATAGGATGAGATTTGCTTTAGCGATCGCTCATCTTGACGATAATTTTAAAGATTGAAATATATATATTGACATACGAGATAATATGTTACGCTCGACTGCCTTCAGATACAGATTTACATATAGTGGGTGATCAACATTAATGTCAAGGAGAAAAATTGACAATCTTTGACGATAGATTAAAGCACATCACATTATATTTTTAATGTCGAGATTATGTATTTCTTATACATAACTTGTTACATAACATACATAATATACTTGCATATGTCTAATCTCTGGTGAATCTTGTGCAGTTTTAAAGATGCCTCGTAATATCTTACCTGAAACAGAAAGCGAAAAATACTCGTGTTATTACTTATAATTCGAAAAGTTTATATTTACTGAATCTCGAAATGAATAAGTATCAGTTAAAAATATAATGATATGTTATTAAGAGAACCATGTGCAATCGAAAGACGATTTTAATCGATTAATTATAATTAAAACACATAAAGACGGTTTCAAGGCAATCTGGTTCGTCGCTATATTGTGAAAATCGATACACAGTAGACTGGTTTCATAACATGAGAAAGTTCATATACTTTATAAAATTATTGAATATCGTTTGCACTTGAGGTACGAAAGATCGAAAGGAAATGACTGTTTACTCATAAATCTACTGCTCTATCATCAATCAACATAGAGTAATAGACTTCTGAGGAAAGAAGTGAATTGCATTTGCAGTTGAAATAATAGAAAATGACAGGAGATTATTGTTTACTCGTCAGAAGACAAGTTGATCTATCATCAATCAAAATGAAATGATAGACTCTTAAACGAAGAAAACTATTGTCCCAAATATCCTTAGAGCAATTTTAAAAGATGTTTTAAAAAGTTATCAAAATAAAAAAAACTTCAAGAGTTTCAATTAATCACACTCCAGCAAAATTGATCGTCGCGAGAGAAAAATATCAATATAATCGCCAACTATTAAAAAAAAAAAAAAAAATACGAAAAATTGTAGAAAGAAACCGAAGCAATACGGGATAATTTTTACATGGAACGAAAACTGGATTGACGTCGGGAAATGAACGATCTATATTGTACGACATGATCGAAACCGCGGAAACCGAGAAGCGAGACGTCTCGTCCTCATCTCGTCCCGTTCTCGCCTCCGTAATTTGCGCGCATCGAAATAATCTCGAGACACACACAAGAACGATCGGCGTGACGGCGCCCATCGTAAATCACCGGTCGATCCGATCGCGGCGAGCGCCACGGCGTCATCCGTCTCTGACAAAGTGCGAGCTCGCCGAGGGATCTTCCGCCGCGCTCCGGCAACTTCCGGCGGTCGTTATTTACGGGCTAGATTGGCGGGACTTGGGGAGCGCTCGAGTTCCAGCGCGAGAGGCGTGAGGCCGGGATCGCAAATTGATCTCGGAGCTCGGAGAAGCGAAGGCGTCGCCTTTTATCGCCCGCCGATGCACTTCCTCGCGTCGCGCGCGTCTCGGCGACGAAAGTAATTTTCTTAGACCGCTATCGCGCGACCCGGGCCCGCTCTCGACGTCTCTCCAAGCGACACGAGACGGGTCGCTTAAAAAATGCATCCCCGAGAAATCGATGTGTTATCGGGAGAAATGTTACGTGCATGCAATTTGTGAAATAGCACTCTGAGTGATGTATGGTATTCCGCGTAACTCTTCAAGTCCGGATCGAATACCGAGGCTGCTGCTCGACTTCGTATTCAAACGAGACGTAACAATAAACGAAAGATGTGGAAAGCGTATCGCGTCGAATCTATCAAAAATCCAGAAAAAATATAATTTTATTTAAAGTTTATTGATATATTATCCGTGGAAGATAATTTAAAAAATTGCATTTAATTCGTAAGCTCTCTCCATATAATCAAGTAAATTCTAAAGTATCCTTTTCCAAGAGATTTCTATACAAGCACGAAAACTTTATCGAATGTCGAGTATCTAAGCCGTCTTGGAGAAGCATTTTTCCTCGTGTATCGCAGTGACACGTAACATGTAAAATTAAAGCGATTATTAATCACGGAAAGAATGAGATACACGACGGTGCAATTTAGGTTCGCAACTCGAGGATAAGCCAAGGTGCCGTAGATCAGGTATGAATTCTTGATATTCGGAACCTGGGCTCGACCGCAGACACCGGAAACCCACTGCGCTGGCAACCACTGCTGCCTTCCTCTGACAATCCCGCGGTATGTTAACGTCACTATGCGTACAGAAGTTAAAATGAATTTCTGCGGTTCGTTCTCGATGATTATTCCAAATGAGTCGTCTGACCTCGTTTAATAAACATTTTTAAAGTGGATTATAGCGAAAATGTTATTTACACGCGAGATTATAAGTATTTGATAGATATTGATAATTTCTTATAAACTGATTAATTTTTGTTGTTATCTTAGAGTCATCAAAATATGAGAGCGTCCTAATTTTTATTATATTTTTAATGCACAATAAAAAATATATATTGCGAATGCGAAAAATAGACTAAATGTTTTATGATATTAATTACGCGAATCTATTCTCTCTCACGTTTTGAATATTCTATATCCCAGACACAATCGTTAAATTTAAAGACAACTGTGAACTCTATAAATGAATTTTTAGAGACTAACGCGGCAAAATTTAGCACAGGCGGCTCTCTGAAATACGCACAAATCTCTACCGCCGCTTGCACTGGACTGAATCTTTGATAAAGAAAACCGACAACGATGTTCAACCATGTTCTCGTGGCATGGGTCGAATGTTCGTAGAAACCGCGAACGTTTACCGCTTTAGTCACATACACGTCGATCGTGTAATTCCTGACGTTACAAGGGCTGGATAATTAACGGATACACCACTAATTGAGCCGAGTCATGCAATATAGAAGCGAATGATATTTTCTCAAATTTTGCACAACATCTATATAAAATGTACATTCTGTTAATTTCTAAATGCAATTTAATGCTTTACTAAAAACCAGTCTAATCATAACAAAAGTAATTAATATAATTAGTATAACTATAACGAAGCACGACAGCAATAATAATAATTATCAAGTATTATAAAATTAAAAAATAAATAAATAAAATAATAGATAATTTTAATTGTAGAACTATATAGCAGATTTGCGCGTTAAAATAATTTTTGTCCATATCACTGTCGTCATCATTGATGGATTCATCAATTTTGTGTAATCGCTGTTAAAATAATTGATCATTCTATTCCCTATATTATAACAAAGAACACATATGCAGGCACATAAAACGGGTGGCGATTTGGCGTATCGCCGAAACTCATAGAAAGTCGTGGCCGGGACATCGGCGGCGATGGTGATCACGTCGCTAGAATTATCCCCGGGACCGGAAGATCAGTTCCCAATAATCCGCGGCACGCGCATTTACATCCGGGAACGAGGCAATAAATACGACGTTTACACGGCGGGTCCACCTGCCGGGATCGCTGCGGCCCGGTCGTTTTCTCCGCGGAACGACGGGAAGGGATCGGGATAAATTCCTGGCCACCGGCCAGTACCTCGGGTTCTCGAAGCCGTTTCGCCCGATACAAATGGACGCCGCCGACAACCCGGGGAACTACGAAACTACGGCACTAAATGGATCTACTGCCGCCGCCGTCGCCGTCGCCGCCAATGGCGAGATACGAAAGAACGCGAACACGTGGAACGAAGGGGTGACGATTAATGAACTCGCCGTACTCGTTGCACGCAGTTGTGCCAAGTTCATCGTTTGCGCTTGTTATTGGCAGATATACTAAGAGGCGGCTGTGTGTTAACGCGTCGTGACGTCAATGAAGGATTTTGGCGAGTTTAGACGAGAAGTTGCTAGTTGCGCTCACACAAACGCGTTCTTCGGCCAAACTCGACGTGAACTTTAATCTCAATTTTAATTTTAATTTCGATTACACAATCGAAAGACTTGATTAGGAACGTTTATACACGTGGCGTGTCAAGATCCAAAAACATCTGTGAAATTTAATATATAATCTATAAGAAACGCGCAATAATTGACAAAATATAATCTCTTGAAAATATATAATTTACTTAAATAATGCTATCAAATAAAATGATTGCAAAATATAAATAATATTTATATCATCTGTCAAAAAATTATAAATTTCAAAAAGAAGTAGTAAACATTGTAAGATGAAATAATAGGGGGAAAAAACGAGCTAGAGGAATCTCGAACAAACATATCTATCGAACGAGAGAAAATAACATGACGAACAATTTGGAGATTACAGAGGCTCGTTCTAGTTTTCAATCGGTCGAATCTGCTGCATAGGTCTGCAATCCCTCCCTCTCTCAATTCCATCCTCCCTTAGTCCCTGAGGGCCTCGCCTTCTCTGGCCGAGTCCACTGGTATTTGGCATTTTGCATTTTGCATTTTGCCACGCGCGGTTGTCTCGCACACGTCGTCGCGCAAATTTAGCGTAAATAATTCCAGCCTTCGCGTTTCGCTATTTCTTTACTGCTACCACTGCGCAAAACCACTCTCCCGCATCGTCGTGTTCACAGACACGTGGATGTACATAGCTATGTGCACACATGCAATTTGTAGATGTGTATGTGTGACCGATATGCGATGTGCTTCGATACCAATAAATGTACACAGATTTCTCAGATCTACAAATAAATAAAAAATTCTCCTTTTTAATGTAAGATTTAAAGGACAAGGAGAAACCTTGCACGACTTTATGAAAATACGTATTTAACGTTAAATGCGGTTAATTGACACGTGATTTGCGTTTCACTATTGATCGTTTAATATGAAAAGTGTTTGTTTTGTTTTATCCTGAGATACGTAAAAAAAAAATTCGGAGCAAAATAGGTTTTAACAGTAAATGCCGCTGTCGAGGCAACGAAGATATAGTATTATGCTCTGTTACGTCATCATAAGCTATTGTATTTACGTCATTGCTCGAGAGATAAACGAGAAATCGATCGCCACGTGACATTCGCGTTATTCCAGCAGCCGCCACGAGGATATCGGTGCTGTTAGTTTAGCGCTTGACAAACCGGCACGAAGCCAACTTTGACATTTGAAAAGTTCACTACATCCCATGTGTAAATATCCAAACAAACTATAAACCGAGTCAGATGTCTATTATGGTCCGTTTTTATATTCGAAGTATAGCCCTGACTTTATAAATTTCTTTTTTAGAAATTAATCTGTAACTTGACAAAAATTGTTTTTATTTAAAAAAAAATGTATATATATATGTGCATTCGACAAAGTAGGATTCGATTACAAAAATAAATGACATTTCGCAAAATATAAGATTGTTATTACAGAGGATATTATGACGAA